CAATCTGGATGCTGCTGTCGCGCTTCGGTGAACGTTAGCGAACGATTTACATAGGCGAGTGTTTTGGAGCCATCACGTACGCCATCGAGTAGTTAATACCTATTTTCGTTTGGTCCGTACACGTTCCACAGAATTTTATTTGGCGGCAGCGGACCGTAACGAAATCCCTCGGCGCAGCGCGCCGGCTAAAATCCCGTTCCGGAGGCCGCGATTGGCGGGCGCTTGATTGAATTGGCGGTCAGTGGCGGGCATTAGGTCCAGCTTGCAAAGGATTGAATTTCTGTCACAATTATCGACCCGGTCCCTCTTATCCGCGCGCCTACGTACGAACCCGGGACCCGCCACGAAAATTCCGCGGCAATCGTCTAAACTAAACGCAGCTGCTGCCTTTAATAGGGAGGGTAACGGAGGAGGGTAAATTCGCATCCAAATGTCCCCGAAGGATATTCGAGTAAGCAGCGTGCATTTCCGAGCGGAATTGCTCTTGCAAAGACGAAGGCTCTTGCCGTTCGAGTACTTTCCGCTTAGATTGCAAAATTATAAGCTGAATGTCGACTTCAAAATCTAGCAATGATTAAAATCTCGATTATATACGATATTATATCGAGGACGAAAAGAAATACAATGGCTGGATATAAATGTTTTCAGTTATTATATGTATAATATAATATCGATAATTTCTTGATTATTTACGCTACCGAAGGACTTTCTAATATGTATAACAATTGTGAAAAATGCATCTTCTCTGGGTCACTTATTAAATACAATAATTCGAGTTGCCAATATCTACCAAGAAGAAGGTCGGAAACCCTCGGGATTTCCGATGTCTGGACCGGACGAACGATTTCTTCACGTTAACACCGGTCTATTGACGCATTGGAAAGCACGTAGAGAAGAGTGTCACGGCCGACCCGAATTGACGGCACGTATACTTTCGTCGCTAAGTCCGAAAACGTGAGATGAATCTGCGGATTAAGTGACCGGGATCGACGCCGAGTCCGATATTCCGATCGGCTCTCGTTAGAAAGTGTTGCGCGACCGCCGTGCCACAAAACGCGCGCAATTATACCAGCATATTCGAGATCTGTTGTATGTACATACGAGCGAGTATCCAATCTTGCGTTACACATCTAGCCAATCTTCCACATTACTTATTAAAATCTCAAATTAGAATCAGTTTCCGCGACAAAAATTTCATGCCGACTTGCGTCAAAAATCAATCGTGTTATCCTCTTATTCGCTCATTCTGTTATTTTTGTCACCTGTATGTCACGATTTCGGTATAACGTAACTTCAAGCTCTTTAGCTTCGCCAAGTTCAAGGATAATCGTAGCGATGTCGCGTGCTTCGCGACGCTGGTTTCTTATTGGAAAGATTGGATAGAGCGATAGACGGGATAATTATTCGATATGCTAAGTTAATTACTGCGTATGTTAACTGGCGATGACGCGACAGTGCACTTGAACGTGTACGGCAATCAGAGCGATGTTATCCGCACTCCTGTTTTTCGTGTACACGCAACCGAGAGCAAAGGAGATACGCCAACGGAGAGTTGTCTCGATGTTACAAAACAGGATTGGCGTTCATGAGCAGTTCATAATATTGTCGCGAGGCGTGCACCTGCGGAAGAATGAACGCCGCTCTTTAACTTTTCTAGTAGCGCCCAAGTGTGATGAAAATTATAGCGAATGTAGCGAAAACTGTAGTGAATATTACGTAAATTAAATCGCATGTGATGTCACTGTTAAAATAAAAAGAAATGACAATACAATAATTGTAAATCGTTACTGTATACCATAAAGAAATTAGATCATCATGCGTTCCTCACTCCATTATTATCCTAAGTTGTTTAAGAAAACACTATATTTTTTAATATTTTTCTATGCTGCGTAAACTGTAAATTAACAATATAATAAAGTCTTGGTAATAATAAGAAATTGTTAATTATTTTAAAAAGAGAATTTTAATTGCTGATTATTACTGTCGATTGTGCAGTTAATTAGCAAAGTGTACGCTACTGAAACTTTAAAGAACTAACCGACTTGGGAAGTTGACACCGCCATGTGACGGCAATCTACTTTGATCTGGATTGGCTTCTTTACTGTCCGATCTGGACGCGGATCCTGACCTCCGTTAACCGGGTATCGGTGACCTCACCAGTCGAACTGGATTAGATGATCGTAACCTGATACGAGAACGCAGACTACCCGCATTTCGATCCGACGGAATATTTTAGCTCACTTTAGTTTACTTTGGCTCACTTAATTAGATTAATACATAATTAACAGCCGAATTAAATTAATAGATCCGGTATATCGTTTTTCGCGAAAAGTGGAGATAAAAAGATCAACAATTGAATTTTCGTGAAAAATAAATATTTTTACCGGTCAATATGTCGATACTTTCTCGAATAGTCGATGTGTTAATGCACATCGCAGTTGCTTGAAAATGCAACTTTACAATTTTAATTATTACTAATCATTTTTCATTCCATTATTAAATTCAAAATTAACGATCCGAGACTCTCTAAGGATCAGGGTTTTAGATGTAGAAATTAAAACAGGAAGTATTTCGACATAAGTTAGACGTTAATCTGACTATTGATCTATCTGGCCATTTCTTTTCTAGTGACCAAGGACATAGAGTTTCTAACATTTTATAGAATTATCTGTCCGCTGATGTCACGCTCTTAGCAGTTTATCATCGTTTCTTCTTTCATTATCTTCCACAAGGAAGACTCATCCTTAAAGTATTGCGAGCAGATAATAATAACTTGAAAAGGTCTAGCGAAAGGTATTTCGACAGGTAGAGATTATCTGAAGGACTAAATGAGGATCGAGTAAATATTCAAAAATTTTATATAAATTGTGTAAAGCTGAAAATTTTAAACACTAAACAATAAAACTTTTTTCTCAAACTGGAAGGTATTTCGATAAGATAAGAGATTATCTGCAGGAGTAAATAAGAGTCGATAAATCGAAAAGTGTTTCCAACAATTTTATGTAAATTTTGTAAAACTAATAAGTTTGACTACTAAACGATAAAATTTGAGAGATATTTCGACAGGTAGAGATTATCTGAAGGACTAAATGAGGATCGAGTAAATATTCAAAAATTTTATATAAATTGTGTAAAGCTGAAAATTTTAAACACTAAACAATAAAACTTTTTTCTCAAACTGGAAGGTATTTCGATAAGATAAGAGATTATCTGCAGGAGTAAATAAGAGTCGATAAATCGAAAAGTGTTTCCAACAATTTTATGTAAATTTTGTAAAACTAATAAGTTTGACTACTAAACGATAAAATTTGAGAGATATTTCGACCGGTAAGAGATTATCTGGAGGAGTAAATAAAAGTCGAGTAAAAGTGCTCTCAAGAATCTTATGTAAATTGCGTGAAGCTGAAAGGTCCCAGTAAAAGTTGTTTCTAAAACTTTTGTCGCGTTTTTTTACCTTAAAAATATGTTCTTTTTCGAGATGTCATAAACATCTTAACTCGTTGCTAAAAGTCGTTATTCTAATCAGAAAGCCATCGCTGTTTATAATCGCTTATTCATTTCGAATAAAATCTTCTTCGTTAAGCAACCTTTGACATCTTTTTATGATTCTGTTAAAGTGCGTTCCGCCAGATTTTATCGCGTGACACACATATTCGACGAGAATAAAGATATAAAAATCAATAATTGGCCTCGCATTCAATGACGAATGACGAGTATGCTAAATGGAGTAAATTTCGTTGCACAACATACATGTTGTATAACGTAAAGTAGTTTTATCAAACAGCATCGTGTATGCTATGATTTAAATGGCCGACCATTAGTTATGCAGTATTTTATGTAATTATCGTGAAGGCGTTAGTATATAAAGATGCGGACGAGTAGCAATTCATTAAATGTGCTACGTTTAATCGAAATGTAACGTTTCAATAAGATCTGCATGAAAAAAGCGCATTATATCGATGCGCCATACGACTCTTCGCGAAAGAGAAATAGTTTTCGTTTAGTAGACTAGATCGGGAAGCAGGTGAAGGTATTTTCGCAATTAAAGAGTTGAATCTGCATTTCGTGATCGTGCTCGAGAAACTAATTGAGAACCGCGAAGTGCGCTCCGTTAACGAGTGTAATTGTTCTTGGATACAAGGGGATTTAATTACACGGCGCCTTCGTCCGCGCGCCGAGCGCAGCGTACCTCGTATTAATGAGCGACAATCGCGGAGGTAAGTAATTACGCAAAGAGTGGTCGGCGTATCAACAATCGCGCTTTTAGCCCGATTCCACATCATTTGTTTACTAGTAAACAAACTGCGGGAGCCCGCAACACGCCGCGGGTTAATTAATCGGTTGTATATGGTCAGTCTGTGTAACGTTGCCGATCGATGCTGATGCCGATTTATTGCCTACGTGCAGTAGAAAATTCGGACGCGAGAAAACTTTGCAAAAGAATGTAGAGCCACGCGAGATGCAGCGGGATCTCGCGTCGATGGTGTAATTTAAATGCGCGCACGTGTTGTGGAGTTTGCGACGAGTTTCGAACGAACGTTAAAATGGCATTACTAGAGTGACTATCACGAAAGTTTTTCTACGCAAAATTATTTTATGCGTACAAGATTAACACTTCGACGAGATAGCGACGACCAGGACTTAACGAAAACTCGCGGAGGAGGAGGTTTTGGAAAGGAGCTTAAATTTTTCGTGCAAATTATCCCGTGTATTTTTCCATCGCGGCGAGGAGCCTCGGAGAACGCACACACGGATGATGCGCTCCGAATCCAATCCATGTGGAAATTTTTTCCCCGACGTTATAACCCAGCCCCGTGCGAACCCAAACCACCGGCTACCTCAATTTGCAGTCCTGCGTAAGATACGTGACGTTCGCGATATCCGCGGGGACCAATCGCGAGAGGTACGATCGATTCCCGTCCGAGCGCCGGCGGCGTGTTTCCGCCGCGTGTTTACATCTGTGTATATATGTACACGTATAAACGAAACAACGCACTTACCACGCTCGCGGATCCGCCCGGGGAAGCGCAGATCCGTTGCCCCCACTCGCCGTTGCCGCTGATATCCGATAAAGCAATATCAATTTATCGCGTCTCCTCGCGCGCGTTTGTTGCGGGGGTCTTCCTGCCTCCTCCCTCTCCCTCTCTCGCTCGCCGCGATATTTCTCTCTCCGCAGTTGATCCCGGAGTGATTCGCCTGCTCCTCTCCCTCGCGGCGAACGTCAGGCCCGCACTTTCTCACGGAATAGCCGAGGAGAGGAAACGAGAGGAACGAAACGAAAAAAAAAGAAGAAGAAGAGTAAAGAGGGCGAAGCGGGGATGCAACCGAATGTGTCACACTCGCGCACAACGCTTCCGCTGTCGATCGCACCGATCTCTCGCCGCGGCCGGCGAGCCTCTGTCCGTGTCACGTGGAGATCTGTTTCGGGCCCACCCGTCGTCTGCTTTCTCTTTTCCTCTCGGTCGCTCTTAGTACGATCGAGGAACCGTCTCTCACTTTCTCTCCGTCGCTCTTATATCCGTCTCTTCGTCGCGCGTTAAATGTCACTCCAGTTGCCTGTCACTGCATCCTCTTCAATAATTAACTATCGCGATCCACGTCCATCCGATACTCTCCCTCGACACTCCTGTTCACCTGAATGTTTATTTGTGATTTCCAGGTACCTCTGTCCGACTCCTCTCGACTTTATTTCGCATTACCGCCCTCGATCGATTTTCCCCGAGAACAACAAGTCCGCTCGCTCCAAGTCCCTACTTCTCTTCTCCCCCTTCTGGCACGTCTTCACCTCGTCCTCGTGTCAATTACTCTCGCACCTGTCCGGCTGACGGAGCGACGCGACGCCGCCGCCAGCGCACTTTCACGAGTCGCGCTGCTTTCGGTCGCGTGCGTGCGCGCGCGCGCGCGCGCGCGGAATCGCTATCGGCGGGCGGGACACCGCGCGGCCGGCGACGCGGACGCTCCGGCGGTGATTGGGGTCGTCCTGGTCCTGTCGATCTTCTCCCCGCGGCAGCGATCGGGCGCGATCGCCCCGCCGAAATTTGCGCCGACCGGAAAGGCCGCTTCCGTCCTCGCGCGATCGATCGATCCCTCGCGATCGATACCCCGCGGATACTTTCCCTCCTCCGGATCACGTTCACACTGGATCCAAGACGTTACCGCGATGTTTCATCGTTTCTCCCCGCGCTCGTTTCCGTCGCGGAAAGAGGCGAACGAGAGGAAAGAAAGAGAGAAGATCCGGAGTAGCGAAAATTTCAGATCGCCTCCTTCCTTTTTCTTTTTAAATACGAAACGCAACGAATTCGCAATCAAGGCGAATTACTCGGCGCGGTCGAAGCTCGCGCCCCGAGCGACTCCTTTTCCCGGCGGAGACTTTCCACCGAGTTCCGACAAGGCAGAGTGCTCGCGGAGCTACCTCCCGTTCGGTGCAGGCGTCGAGTGGCGACTGTCGTTTCTTCCAACGCTCGGCCTGCCTCCGGCCTGCCTGTCCCTTCCCCCTCCTCGAGACCATCGGGGAACCGACTACACGCAGTTCACGGATTTATGCTATTACCGCACCGTGTTCCACCCTCTGCGGCCGGTGCTCTTCACCCACCCGTTGGCCTCTCCTTCTTTTCTCAACTTCGTACTTTCTCGAGGCCCAAAAGGGCACGGTGAAACCACTGAACCGACGCGGCCGGGCGGGACTTTCCCGCCAACGATTCTCTTTGCACAGGAAAATATAATATCGAACGTACAACAAACGACGAAGAGTATAAGAAGAGAGCTCGAGATATAAGGTTGATATTAGATCGCACTTTGTCTGCACAAATTGTCCATATTCGATAACAATGCAGATTCTGGAGCAGTAGCGTCTTTTCCCAGGCCCCTCGCGCTAGAGACTCGGGATATACGATTCGATAAAGTATCTCCCTCGAAGGGTCGACCCTCCAACCCCCATAAATACGAATATCCATGCGAGAAGGATCACGATCGCGCCGTACGCGCGCAGCGCGTCGCCGGCGCGTGCACGTGTGCGGCGGCGAATACAGAAAATCAGGCACGTGGACATGACAATGACGAGGTTTCCTCTCGGAACCGGAAACCCATAAATGGAAGCTTTAATGTAAAAATAATCATTTGTTTTACAATCCGAATGGAGAGACGGTATAGCGCACGTGTCTACCTCGCCATCCCCTGAGGGGTAAACCGCATTGTGTGTACAGATTTGCGGTATTACTGGGCATTTTTTGGGCATTAATAAGCATTGGTCTACGTGACTTTGATCATAGTATCACTAGTATGCCCACTCTCTGTCGGTCCTTTCATCTTTTCGGTTTCGATCACGTGGTATTCCGCCATGGTTTTCGTATAAAATCCTATCACACTGTCACACTAATTTCACACTATCGCATATACAATTACCATATATACACAGTCTGGGAAAAAAAGACAGTTAGCAACCCATTTTGGGGCCCACGATTAGTAATCGAATTAGTTGGATTGTTCGTACACTACTTTGGGAAAATTTTTGACTGTTTTTTTTGTAATTGAGCAACTTAACATTTCGGTTAGTGCTTCTTGAGTGAAAATTATCTTATTTTGCGTTACTGAATATCGACAGGACTAATTGAGAGAATTGATTAGTATTACTTAAAAACCTTAAATATAGATAGAATATAGCTAATTGCGATTTTTAGTTACGCGGGGTAAAATTCGTAAAAGATTAGAGCGAGAGAGAAACCGCTGAGGGCATTGTGGTGTACAGATTTGCGGTATTACTGAGCATTACTAGGCTTTTTTGGGCATTAGATTGGACATTGGGCCTTGATGGGGCATTATAAAGATAAAATAAGATAAAGTAATGCCCACTGGGCATTAGTAAGCATTGGTGTGTATGATTTTGGTCAGCGGTTTGCCCCTCGCCATCCCCGAGTCCACCGTTGCACGTAATACATACATGCGCATAGGCGGGTCGAGAATTTCCTCTTTCGAGAACTGCGCGTACATTCTTATCTCGATTATCGTTGCCTGACTCAGTTCAATATGTGGGACAGCCCAAGTTGTCATTCAAGAGTGACAGAAGTAAAAAATTTACGTTTGAACGAAACTACGATACTGTCTAGACGCGGAGAACGATCAAGTTTGATCGAATAAGATGAGCGACGATTAAATGATCGGCACTTTGACGACAAGGCGTGTGTGACAAATGTCTACAAATACAACATTTTATACACTTGGAGATGCTTAATTGGAGAAATGAGAAATTTGAGATCAGCGGTCTCCGGAGTTACTCCGCGCCCGGGACACGGCACATGGTCCCGCGTGGCCCTTTCTGAAACCCGCCTATGCGCGACTCCGGGCCCCCTCCCGGAATAAATCAGCCAAGGAAAACCTGCCGGAAGGTATTAACGTCGCGTCGCGGGGGCAGCCCCTCGCGTCCGAGAGAGGGTTAAGCCCGCGCCCTTATCGCGCGTCCCTGAAACGCCGCGCCGTTCCCGGGGGGGATTTTCTCGTTCTCTGCCTGATCCCGCCTGACGCGGACGATCCAACCGGGTCGGCTGCAATCCTGCCGGTTGCACGACGCCGGTGGTAGATGTGAGACGACGAGGAGGAGGATAGGGGTGGCTGGTGTGCGGGGGTACGGTCGGCCCTTATCGGAGGTCGCGCATGACGAGACAAGCTAATTGTGTTATCAGCGTACAACGGACGCCGGCCGCGCCTCTCCTCCGCCGTCCCTCAAGCTGTCGCCTCTTCAGCGTGCGTTCAGCATAGCACGCGTGTTTGTCTTCCAAACGGCGCATCTGCCGCAGTCGCCGTGACGAACGCGCGTGACTCCACTAGCGCGCGAATCTCCCCCGATACGTGCTCGAGAACCGCCGGAAGTAAACTTCTCGGGAGTCAAACTGTGTCGACGGGTCTCAAGGAGATTCGAAATTTAAGAGGTAACTCTCGATTCGTCGCGACGCGCGCGATCTGTACCGGCGGCTAAAATCAAGATAAACTGGCGTTACATTTTTTAAATTGTATTCTTTTCTTACAATGCTTCTTTGTCTCGAACCACGGGGTTCCCAGGAGAGCTCTCTCTCTCTCTGGATCACGAGACACGCGGAGCCGACCCCGCCAGATTCCGAGCCGGGGGCTCCGTTACTTATCGCTCTAGGTAACGCGATTATTTATTTGTTACACATTAAGTTAACGCAATCCCAGCATGGGCGCGCGGCAATTACAGTAGCGCGCGCTGTCATCGTACGAAGGACCATTAAAATAATTACAGGTGTCGACGCGAGGTACCGCCGGTAACGATAGGAAAGATCGGCCGTCGGCGGGTTATTATCGTTGCAAACTTTGTCGCAACTATGCGCGTAGGCAAAGGGCCACCGCTTTCCGCCCCGGGGATAAGAAAAAGCGCGCGCGGGGGAGGATCCGCGGGGTGTCCGACTTAATTACGGACGGGGCATATGGGCCGGACCCCAGCCATGGTCCACCCGCTCGCCTCGCGGTATGAATATCGCATTAAGTCGTGAGTGAGAGATAGCTCTAGGCAGGGGTGGGCCCCCGACGGGAAACTACGAATTTAATAGAATAATAAATGGAGCTCGGCGCGCGCGCGCGCGCGGAGGCGGCGGGACGGGGCGGCGTGCCCGGGGCACAGATCGATTCGCCAATCGTGATCGTCCTGTACAGAGGTGGTCCACATAAAGTGTTTAAAGTAAACCAGAAAGAGAAAACGGGAAATTACTCCGTGCAATTAACCGCGCCGCCTTTTACGCGGTACTGTTAGACATTTTTAATTGATCGGGGACACCTTACGCTCTTTCGTCCGAGGTTTAAAATTATACCGCTCGTTCAACACGAACCCCATAACGGGAATCTTCTACATAACTTTCCCAATTTCTGTCGCATCGATTCTACGTATCGAGCGTTTGTTCCTACGGGAATCTTTTAATTGCAAGGATAAACGCGTCGTTTCTTCTTCGTTTTTCTGTTCTCTTTTCTCCAAAGTCGAGATCGGCCGCGGCGCGGAATGTCCCGAAGAGAACGCGCCGCGGCATATAGGTCTGTGGAGTAATACCTAAATTAATAATTGCGCCTTCCCGCGCGCGGTAATTACGTGTACAATCGCCGCGCGTGCAGGAGGGTGCGCGCAGAAGGAGGAGGAGGAGGAGCGGAGAGGTTCGTGGGTAATTGCACGCGCGCATTCCCGCGTATCAGTATGCAAGCGTGCATAAGCGTGCTCGCATACGGGGTCGAACTCTCCGTGCATTTGCCATAATGAATCCCGCCGGCACACGCGCGCTTCCGTCCGCGTGCGCGCGCGTACACGCTCGGATACACGCGCGGAGAAACGCGCGGAAACGTTAAGCGAAAACAATAACATAAATAAAAGATACGCGCGTATATCCGAACCCCGCGAGAGCGAGCTGCGCGACGTGCAAATGCGCGTAGCGTTGAAAATTTATACGCCGAGTCGTATATGGGAGAAAAATGTAGATCGTGGCATCTAAATTTAACATCCATCGCGGATTTCGCATGAAAATGTTTCGGTAATTAAAACTTAGATTAGATTCCCGTGCGCCAAAAGCAGCTTTTCCTCAAAATTGTCCGAGAGGCAAAGTTTCGCTATCGATTCACCGGCGTGAAGTTTAATCGGTTCCTGATCTAAAATGTTAATTACCGAAACTTGAAATGTTTTACAAGGGATTCCGCGTTTAAGTGAATTTCACAAGATCGCGCAAGAAGCCGAATAAAAATCAAACATAGAAATCTCTGTAAGTTGCCAGTGTTTTAATACAGAAAATTTATTGCGAAAAATTGAACCTCATCCAGGGTTCGAACCGCCCTACTCTCTAGGCGGGCGTCTCA